CTCTCTCTCTCTCTCTCTCTCTGACCTATTCACTCACTCTCCGTCTCCCAGCACTCAGCTGTCCCAAAGAGCGGCAATGAGAAGTGACGTCCGCCCTTCCCAGAGCCCGGTCCATCCTTTTATCCTCGAGCCCCGGGTGCCCGTGGTAGTGGTTCCTGTCTGTTGTCCCCTCGCTCAGACCCTCTCCCTGGCCTCATTTCCCACTTGCTCACGGCAGAAAGGAGCACAATTGAATTGGCGGATCGAGTTTCGGGTAGTGAGGGTGGGGTGGTAAGGGTAGTAGTAGTTGATGAGACGCTCGTGTCAAATAAAGCCAGTGGCTGCTGGAGCATGGAGTCGTGTCCTTGGCCTGGCCAGAAAATTTCTTCCGCGTCCTCCAGGGCTTAGGTGCTAAGCCAGATGCTTATAAGCATATAAGTGCAAAGTCTGCCCAAGGTGACTGTAGTATACCTTTGGGATTATATTGTGGAATATATTCCGATGGTTTGTCAAGATCATTATCACCGGATATTGTCGTGTGTGTCTCTCCGCCACCCCCCCCCCCCCCCCTTTTCCCCAATTTCCCCTGCCTTGGCAATCCCTCACGCTTTCCGTCCTACTCGAAGTTGGTTAATTAGAGTACTTCTCCCGGGGGTGCACCACCTCTGGTAATGGAATAACACATGTGAACATGTGCTTTTGCTCTGCAGTCTTGATTACTCGGTGTTTACTTTATATTCTTTCTTTCTTTTCTTTCATTTTTTCCCGATTTCTTTTTGTCCTTTCCCCTAGGCCAATAGATCCGTGCACGAAATAACCAGTTCCAGTAGGGTGTTACGTTCAGTTATCATTGTCTTTGCCTGTTCCTGAAGAGATACAACGTGGGTGGTTGGCGGGTGCTCTGGTGTGGTTTGCTTCTTCTTTCCTGTGAAACATCTATCTTCCTTATCTCCCCTTCTTCTTTTTTATGTGTTTTACTCTCTTGTAACACTTCTAATCTTCTGGCGCTCATATATTACCTTACGCTTTTGCGAGCGCCGTAAAACCTCTACTAAAACTGAACTACAGAAGAGATACAACGGATTTCCTGCGCCTCCTGCCGCTAAACTACCACCACCGTACTGGACTAAATGAAACTGTTTGTGTATGTTTTCAGACCACCACAAGTCTATGCATGACCTGGTGGAGGAGGTGGGCCGTGGATCTCCCCGTGCTGGTCACTCCCCAGGCACTCACAGCCCCCGGGCTGGACACAGCGCCGGCTCACCCTACTCAGCCAGGTAATTCACTACACACTCTGTCATTGCTTTATCTCTTCCCTTACCTCACCATGTCTGTCTGTCTGTCTGTCTGTCTGTCTGTCTGTCTGTCTGTCTGTCTGTCTGT